GAGTGTTGCAGATCCGGTGACGTGTTGTAGCAGCTTGTGGATTGAGTTATTTGATGCTTTGTATAGGTAGACTGTCATGCATTACTTGTCTCTTTCTATAGATAGATTGTAGTGTACTAACAAATATCCTGTTTTGGGTTGTAGATAATTGTACTCATCGTAGTTTCGTTCATATTTGTCCACAGACAACATGTTGAATGTATGATGAGTCTTTTTCAGTGGCATGTAGGCATTTATATTTGTTGTAGTCATCTGTTATTTTATTCAAAAAACGATATTTTGTATGTATAATGGGTCTCTCACTAGGGCCCGTAGGTACCTGCATTTACTACAAATCGTACATCTTCACTTACAAGAGGACGGTGTATTCGGTTGCCATTGGATGGTTGTTGGTTGTGAGGGTGTACAGTATCCTTGCTACAACAATTCGTAGGTACTTTGCATATGGGAGAGATTTCTTATATTTGACTCATAGGAGCTCTCATTTGTCATCTCTCTCTCCCTTCATATTGACTGTGAGCACGTTTATGCAATTATTGCATGTTGATCACCATGGCTTACTGAGGTTTGTTATATTTTCTTGTGCCTCCTCTAATTCTTGTATCAACTATTGCTTGTATCTTCAAGATCTACAAGCTTCTGCCAGTGCTTGCAAGTATATTGTTGCTTCCTCCACGATGTTCATTGGTCGCTGCTTGTGCATGGGTCATGTCACATGTCATTAGTCTGTCACTTCTTTTGAAGATAACTTGTATCTCATATAGTGAATTCACTTGCTGATATTCATATTTTTGTTGGCATGATGATCCTTTGATATATCATTGAGATTCCTTACTGTTGGTTGTAAAAGTGTCACAATTTTTTGTATGTCCCTTGTATTTACTCATGACATCACTTTCATCACGCTCTCCTTGCCTATGTTTGTAGGACGGTGGTTAATGCTATTGCAAGTCTTTGATTTTCACCTTCGTTGCATGTCAACAGACACCTCCATACCTTGTTAATGAACATGTCGTATAACAAATCATTGTTCATAGATATGCTGCACTCCTTGCATGTCGATTGATGATTTGCTTCATCCATCATATTTTGACTTTTAATCAAAGTATTTGCTTGTGAATTGAAGGTGTTGTCAAATGCATTGAGCATGTTACCACATTCACTACAACCCTCTTCCTTTGCATATACATATAGGAGATATTATCGTTTGCATATGATTGATAAAGTATTGTGGCTTGTCATTGAATTACATTTGGAGTTTCATCATTTATATGCATGGAGAGTTCATTTCTCACTCTCTTGTTTGCATAACGATGTTGGTTATGAAGATATTACTGCATTCATCACACATACCCTTGCATGCATGACACTTAAATGCTTCAAATTGTTAATTAGCATTTTATATTTTTCAATCTTCATCGTGAAATTGTAAGGTTAAAATCTAGTTCTTTGCTGTGTGAATTACGTTCAAGTCATGCTCAAGTTCGAGCTCATTTCAATTTCATGCCATCCAAGTTAGGTTCAAATCCGAGTCCGGTTCAAGTTCATGTCCACTGTAGTTCAGGTCAAGTTCAAATTACAAGTTCAATTCAAGTCCAAGTCCTTGTAAACTTTGGTCCACATTCAAGTTCACTTTATTATTCAAATTGAGTTAATGATTTTGCAGTTGTCCCGAGTTATAATCTCAACTCATCGTTCTTTATCAATTGATTTAAGTTCAGTTTTATTTAAGTCAAGTCCAAGTTCCCAATTTTGCTGAAAAATTCGATAGCCTCTCGACGTCTCCCCCAAATCCCAATTAGGGGAAAACCAAGAGTCACAGTCCCGCCACATCAAGAAAGACGTGCACGGGCGTTGTCGTGAGACACCGCGGCCGTAGTCTTCGTCATCCACCACGACAAGAAAGGCATGCATGGGTCTTAAAAAAACACGTTTGAAAAAATAATTCTTTCCCTGCACACGGGTACTTATATTTTTGTCCCACCGTGCTAAGAAAAGCGCGCACAAGGATTGCCCGCCTCGCCGTAGGCATCGCACCGAGTTCTCTCCCATCACACTAAGAAAAGCATGCAGCACTATTTCTTCCGATCAAAATGTCGTATCTCCCGATCCAACAAGAAGGGAACGTGGTCGAGGGAGGCAGAGGGAAGAGGAGGATTCACGGCTAGGGTAGGGGCAGAGGATCGTGGGGTTGGATGAGTTCGGGTAGAGTAAGAGCAAGAGGCGGAAGACTTGCGAACATGAGGGAGTTCGGTAGTGTGTGTGGGAAAGAGCAGCCGAGAAGCTTCGCTCTTGTCTTGTTTTAACGACGCGAATGGGAGGGATTTTCACATGCGGGAGATGAGATGGTTCGTGTTAACCTCTGTGAAAACAAAACGAGAGGAGAACAAGCCATGAATCCAACGTACATACCTAACACCCGTTGTATATTATTTGAATTGCTCGCTAATGTTATCTTCTCTTATTTTTGTGTTCTGTGCAAGTCTCTGCATTTTGAAAGTGCGGGGTGATGTATCAGATTCTGATTACTAACCCTTGCCTTTCATTTATGCAGATGGATCTACAGAACACCCCGATGACTGAATTTGCATTAATTTGGATAATTTTAGGGATGAATTTAAATTATTTGAAATTAGATTTAGTTTAGATAGAATTATATTTAAATTTGAATAATTGATCTTAACATTGAGTTTCATCTTGATTGCCCTATTTTAACAAATAGGAATTCCCTGCTTAAATCTATTAATAGAATAATGAATTGAATCAAAGATACCCCATCTAATCCTCTCTACTAGTGGACTAAAGTTGCTCTTGTATCTCATTCTCTATCGAGCTTCTCTCTCATAATAGTTGATTTTCCTCTCTTGCTTCACTAACATATATCATGTAGTATTATAGCATAATCTTGATTCCATTCATTTAAGCCCCACTTTCTTCCGCTTCAATTATAAACCACAATCTCCCTCTTATCAATGTCCTCCTCGATTTAGTAAGTGCTAATAGTGCTTATCATTTCACATAGTGCCACACTTTCATATCTTCATGTTCAACATTTACAGTGGTCATAATGCATCAATCACCATAATCTCACCACATAATAACAATACCAAAATGCAATTAGCACCCCGAAGCTACTTCGCACATGCAATCAATAGCATGCATGGCGTTGCTTCACTATTGCATCATGACCATTGTTGAGTCCTTTGTTGCATCAACTGACCAACCGCAATATATTACCAACAACCTCCTCTTCACCTAGTGCACTTAAGTCGCCCATAATTTATCTTTGCCACACATGTTTTATTATCTTGCTTGCACTCCTCACCCAAACCCATCCCATATTTAGGCCCACTCACGATAACCCGCTGTTACACCATTTTGTTACAATACGCATCAAAATTATAGCTATAAGACCCCTATCTCAAATAAATATAAAACAGGTATCAATTACTAAAACTAAAGTCTTAAATTACAGTATGCATCAAAATAATAGACACTAGAAAGTCGAAGGAAATACTAAAATCTCCTATATATTGTTCAAGATGCATCACTTATACGTGGATAAATACTAGAATCTCCTACGGGATTACAAAAGTCCCAGCATTTCTTATATATAATCAACTTTATTAATTGTTAACACATTTCATCAAGATCATAAGCATCTACATTGAGAAGATTAACTTGTATAAGAATTAGATATGGCCCAAGATGATAGGGGAAAATATAACTTAAAAGTTTTAGATGATGCAATTGAATCATTCAACAATTTTTATGAATCATATGATGGTTATAATCATCTTAGATCTCAACAAACTTCATATATTTAAACATATTCTAACCAACCAAGGCCAAAGCCATAAGATTTTATGCACTGAGTTGAGAACACATATCTTGATGATAAAGATGATCATACATCAATTTCACTGCCTCCTCCATCAAAGAAAACACACTACCAAAAGAATGGTTTCTTTGAGTATTCTCAGGCCCAAGGTAATTGATTTAGCATAATAAACCATGACTCCATTTGCCAAGTTCTAGCACAAATATCAAAATTCAAAATAAAATCTCAACATGTGTTTTTAGATGTTGTCAAAGTCTTAGCGATTTAATCATGTCACAAGCAAAAACATGAGTTTGCAATTTATTTTTTCATTTTGTTACAATTTTATAACCAGGGCAGATTTTGGTGGCATGTGCTTAAATATTCCTTTTAAGCAAAAAAATATAATAGGTTACTTGTTTTTGAAATTAACATTAAATATCCTTTGTGGATAATTCTTTGTTCAAATTATTTAGGATTAGAATTAATTTAAATAGGATTAAATTTTGAATTCAAATTATGGATCTTCTATTTGGGTATTATATTTGTAACAAAATTTCTATAAATAGAAATTCAAGACATGAATTTCAAAATTATAGTATAAATTGAATTATACCCAATTTTCCTCTCTTGCTTCTCATTTACATAAATTATCCTCAACAATGGACACAATGAAGAGATCAATGATACCGATGACAAATGTAGCTTTGTGGTGAAAATATACTGTAGGAAGGTCAAGGTGATAGTTTGTTAGACAATGACACAAAAAATTAAGCATCTTGATAAATAGAGAAAGATTGGGCATCATAGATTTGATAAAATAGATGGTTTAAACTGGGATGGATGGTTGAAGGTTCGTCCACAAATATCTTTAAGCAATCCACACAAATTATAATATATCCTATATTGACCAAAGTTTTTCTATCTTTTTTTTTTTTTTGATAAATAGATTGCTAAAGATCACATATTCATTGCCATATGACAACATCCACACTCTCAACCAAATTGGGCATGGATTTGAAGGAACACATGCAAACCATACAAGAATAAAGTCAAATCAAATTTAAGAAGTTTAAATAACAATAACGGTCTAATAATGACGGGAGTTATGAAAAAAATAAAATTAATAAAGTAAAAAAAAAAAACAAATAAAAAAATCTATAAGGTTAAATAATATTACCCTCTGACGTAATATCTTCAAGGTTTTCAGTAGAACAATCTTTTTTGTCACGCTTTGCTCTATCTTGCTTATCTATTTCAATATCAGAATCTGAAGAGTCATCTAATGATATAGTGACCACTGCTTCTTCCCATGGGAATGACCTTTTCATTTCGTGATAGCTCTGATGTTCATTAAAAAAAATTAAAAAAACAAGTCCCTTTATTTGAAGAATAAATAAACAAACTAAATATTTTAAAATTTAAGTACCATACAAAAGTATGTGTAGCAATCATAAAATATTGTACCCGGAGGTAAAAAAGACTACACATGTTATAAAATACAATTACTTCATGGAATCCAAAATATAAATTAAGTAATCAAATTCATATCCGAAGTGCACATCTCAGCTATAAATAAATAAGCCAAGCGATTCAAAATTGAAACAACAGAAAATAAACTATAACATAACAAGGTGATGATGTAGGAATTAAATTCCTCAATTTTAGACCTACTATCATTCATATATCGACTAGTTGAATAAAGGAGAAAAATAACTACTCTTTGGTAATCACATGGTTAAATATCCAACCCCACCATGCTTCAAAGAATAACATGAGATTAGGGATGAGAAACTAAAAGTACAGATGAATGATTTATTAATGCATTAGGCTCCGTTAACTAGATATAGCATACCACTAACAATAGACTTCAAAAGAATAACTATCCATTCATGAAATATATTGTTTCAGGCCTTCCATATGCAATGTTATCTTCATCAAAGTCATTAAAATTTTCAATTTCAGAAATTAGAAAAAAGCAATAAAACTAAAAAACTTGAACAGATAAAGCATTTCCATATCTTTAAACAAAACAAAAATTTTAAAAGACCTCATGTAACAAAAAGGCTAAGATCCTATTTTTGAGAAAAATATGCACGAGAGAGCAAAATCAATAGCAGATAAAAATAAATAAACTAAAGAAAATTCTAAATAAAAGACAAAATGTATAGTTAGGCAAATTTATATTGCCTAAATCCACAATCTTGCATAAAAATATCTCCAATATAATAGAGAATAGAAAATTTGATTTTCCTATAGTTCTTTACGCTTTATGAGAGTGATAAAATCAAACATCAAATAATAGACTTGAAGGAGAAGATATCAAAGAATCCTGACTAGGATTCCCCATTCACACCAAACAATTTTTTTTTTGGAACCACTAAACTTGCCCCTCCAACAACTGTACTTGCCAGCAGCACTATCACACATACACTAACACCACATATAAACCATGTCGAAATGATTCGCTAAGACCAGAAATGAAAGTGTTCCGTAATCTTTGACTTTGTTTCAGTCTTATTTTCTTCTCTCTCTCCCTCTCTTTCTCTTTTTATCTTTCCCTCTATATTTTATTTAAAAGAAATCAACTATCCTCCTCCTTCCCATAGCCAGACAGGAAAAAATTACAACAACTGGCACTTTTGGGTCTCTATTTATAGATTTCAGATATATAGATTCAAAATAAAATAAGTTCAAATATAATCCATAAAAAGCTTTTAATCAACTTTGAACTTTTTACAAATTTATGACAAACTTTTAGCAAATTTTAAAATCTTTCATCACCCATACCACCTCTTCTGAATTTATATTTATCATATAGAGAGTGGCAGTCTCCATAAATTAACAATCTTCCTTTTAGAGAGAGAATTATTGATGTACTAACTTGCAGAAATGAAATTTGTCACACCTCTCAATCATCCACCAAGACCAAAGCTTTGCAAAGCCTCAATTTGCTATTTGTAACTGCATTTAAAAGTAGGTCAGATTATCAGATCCTTTTATTTATAAATAATACAAAATTATGTTTAACCTGGTCACTCTTACTCAAAAAAATTCCTTCAAGTTCCAAAAAATTTTCTGTCCACCGCATAATACACATAAAATGAAAATATTCATATTGTGTAAAAGTTTGCCTCCTATTGAGTATTGAGTAAGAAACTGAACAATTCCATCACATGTGTTTCTAAATGTCAATCTATGACATCGAAACGTTAACTTTGGGATATATATAATTATATGCATACAATTGCTTTTGTAAAACAATAATAAATCATCAACATAATAAAAAGCATTTAAAATGTTATATTTCAATAATTTTGTAAAATTCGGCAAGCATATACAATACATTAAATAGTCTACGACTTATAACAATTATACAACGTTTAATTTGAATAGTTTCAATTTCAAAAAGCACATGTACACGTGTGTACAACATAAAATAAGTTATAAGATTAGTACAATTCTGTGCACAACAAACAGTTGTAATAATTTTGTAAAAAAACTATCTGTATATTGGTGCATATAACACATAAAAAAAAGCCTTATGGCTTGTATACACCAGCTTACAACGCATAATTGTAACTATCTTACAAACAATGCCTACACAGTTGTATATAGGGCTTTAAACATGTGTATAACTCAAAATAAAAAATTTTCCCCAAAAAACCTTCAAATAGATGTGTACGATCTTAAAATTGAGCTTAAATGGTTGTACATAGAAGAATATACCTTAAAACACCTATAAAAGATGTCTAAAACATTAAAATTGAGAATACAAGGGTGCACACATTTGTTTACAACCCAAATGATTGAAAAAATTGCCCCAAAATACATGTGCATACATCAATACAATCTAAGAACTGAGTTTAGAAGGTTGTACACGAGTATAGCCTAAATGACTTAAGAACATGCTTGAAAAAAACTATACACAAGTGAGTACAACCCTGAGATCGAGTTTATGCTAAATACTGAATAAAATTAGCCAAAAATACCAATGCACACATTTGTATAAACAATAAATTAAGTTTACAAGGATATGCGTATATGTGTAAAAAAAAAAAGAATAAAATGTCACAAAATATTTGTACACAAGAGTATAGAACCATATATACTGAATTTCAAGGTTGTGCACACCTATTTCAATGCTGTAAACACATGTATACAAGTTTTCTGGGTTATTCCATCCTACTTTGTGTTGTCCATATGTACAGCCCTGTAAACTTAAATTGATGGCTATACACACCTATATACAGTTGCTTTTGGCATATTCGTCCATTCTTTGTGTTATACACAAGTATGTCAATATCTATTATTCATTTTCTGAATTATACATATGTAAAGCTATTTTGGGGCATGTTCTTACATTTTTTTACATTATACACAATTTTTAAAAATATTATAAATTCACTTGTAGCATTGTACACACCATTTTACATCCATTTTAGAGCATAATATTCCATTTTTGTGTCAAACATCGGTGTATACTACCCTATAAACTCAATTTTATGGTTGCACATACATGTATATCATTAAATTGGTGCATGTTCTTCCATCCTTTGTTGTAAATAGGTGAGTAATTTTTTAAACTCAATTTAAGAGCTATGCATGCCCGTATATGATTATTTAAGCATATATTCTTCCATCTTTTATTTTGTATAGAGAGTTGTCTACGGCCTTTTAATAACACACGCATATATATATATATATATATTTGTTTTAAGATATGCTATTTCATTTTAATACCATGCATCGATATGTAAAGTTCTGTAAACTCAAATTTAAGGTTGTAAACATGTATACCAATTATTTTGAATCAATTTCTTACATTTTTTAATCACAAGCATGTATAGTCCTATAAACTAAAATTTAAGATTGTGCAAAAATATTTATAAATGTTTTGAGGCAAGTGCATCAATTATTTATGTTTAAAACATGTGTGAAACCTCGCAAGCTCAATTTCAAGTTGTAAGCACCTATGGATAGTTGTTTAGAGCTTGTTCTTCCTTTTTCTTATGTTTTACGTAGGTTTGGATAGCACTACAAACACAATTTCAAGATTGTAAAAACTTGTGTAAAATTGTTTGGATGAATACACTTCCATTTTGTGTAGTACACGGGTGCATAGATTTGTAAGCTCAATATAAAGGCTATGCACGCCTATATACAGTTGTTTTTGGGTTTTTTTTTTCATTTTTATTTTGACATGAATTAGTATAACCATGAAAACTCAATTTTAGGTTGTACACACATGTATAGCTATTTTAGGTAAGTACTTACATTTTACATATACACGTGCGTTTATAGCACATGAAATGAGTTTTACAACTTACACGTATCTGTGTAAAATATTGAATTTCAATAATTTTGTAAAACAACTTTGAAATTTTTTCCAATTAAAGATTTGTCAAATTGTGTGCAACCAAAAAAATAATATTGTTTACAACCTCTTGCAAATGTCTAGTGAGAACATCCATGACTAAAGCAAAAAGATATGGGCTTAAGGTTAATCCTTGATGTAATCCAACTGAAATAGAAAAATACTTAGTCAAACCACCTTGTGTTTGGACACAAGTAATAGATCCTCTATAAATATCCTTAATGACTTGAATATAAGCATTATTAACCCCTTCATTTCAAGAACTCTTCAAAGCACTTCTCTTGGAACTTTATCATATGCTTTCTCTAAATCAATAAATATCATATGTAGATCCTCCTTATTCTCTCTATACCTCTCCATCAAACTTCTCAATAAATGTATAGCTTCCATAGTAGACCTACCCAGCATGAATCCAAATTGATTTTGAGAAACATTAGTATCACGCTGCAACTTATGCTCCATAACTCTCTCCCATAACATAAACTTAATTCCTTTATAATTCGCACAATCTTGTGCATCATCATTATTCTTAAAAATAAGAATCAACACATTCATTTTCCACTTATCTGACATCTTTTTAGTCTTCAAAATAATATTAAAAGGCTTAGTAAGCCAAGAAATTCTTTTTTCTCCTAAGCATTTCCACACCTCCATTGAGATATCATCAAGTTCAACAGCTTTTTCACACTTCATTATCTTTAAAGCCTCTCTAACTTCAATTTTATCAATATATCGATAAAATTAAAAAATATATATTTTCATTTAGGGTGCTAAGGTCACTAAAATCAATCGCATTCTTATAATCTTCACTAAAAGTTCATAAAAATATCTCACCCAACTTTGTTGAATATTCTTCTAATAAAAGCACTTTTTAATATTCATCCTTAATACACTTCACTTGAACTAAATCTTTACTACTATTATCTATTTGTTTGACCAACTTATATATATATATATATATATCCTTAGTATCTAATATATAAAACCCAAAACTAATAAGTGATATTGAGTACATAAACTTTCACTTGGAATAACTTTACAATCTTTGCAATCTAGATGATCTATTTCTCTTATAAAAAAACAACCAATTTGAGTTTGTAAAAATAATGAAATGTAAATAATAGAAAAAAATATAATATATAGATCATACATTTATATAATATACACAATAATTTAAAAAATTCTAAACTTAATTAATCCTTCATAATACACCATGTATATAGAAACTTCAAATACAATATGTAGCATCGCCTTTCATGCCTTCAATAAATACGATGATAAAATGCCACATTAATCAAGCTCAAATTTTCTTATACACACCCCTTGAACAAGTGCATGAGCATTGATATGTAAATAATGGAGAAATACGTGTTGTACACAAATTACATATTTACATAATATACGCATTAGTTTAAAAAATACTCTAAACTTAATTTTTTCTTTATAATACACCACTTATAGAGAAACTCCAAACAAAGTATGTAGCTTTCCCGTTCATGCCTTCAAAAAATACAGTGATAAAATGAAACTTTAATCAAGCTTAATTTCCCTTATACACACGCGGTGCACAAGTGCAAAAGCATTGATATCTACATAAAAGGAAAAATATATTGTACATAAATTTTATATTTATATAATATACACATTAGTTTAAAAGAAACACCTAAACTTAATTACCAATAACAAACTGAACTTCTTGTCCTGGAACATAGTGAGCAAGCTAAGCTTATTCTGCCATAGCACTTAATGCATAAATTAAATAAAGTTGGAAGCATTGCCAGATTAAGTAGGATTTACGGATTTGCGAAATTCTCCCGCAGCAACCGAGCGACGTCCAGTCTTCAATGAAGAGGCGAAGATGTTTACCTTCACAGCGAGCGAGCTCCCGACGTGACTTCCGATCCGAGGTCGTGAAAGAAGGAGGAGGCGAAGAAGCTTCTTCTTTCAACAAACTGCTTCACGAGAAGAACGCGAAGCCGAAGCAGCAACGAAGAAATGCCGACGAGGAAGAGCAACAGGCTACTGTAACAGCAACGAAGAAATGCAGAAAAAAAAAACAGAAGAAATGCGGATGAAACGCAACCCTAGAGGCGTCCATCCAAACATCCAATTACTCTAATTTAGAATAATTAATATAATTTAAAATATTATTAATTAATCAATTAATTCATTCATTAGTAATATGATTAATAGTATAATTAAATAATCTAATTAAGTAAAATTAAATAATTGGTAATATAATTAATAATTAAGAATTAATATCATTAGCTTAGAATTTATAATTTGACATTGAATAATTAATTATATGATTAATATTATAAATAACAAATACTTAATTAATTAATTATAAATATGTATAATGAATTAATTAATATTATTAAGGTTTCGGAGTGATGTAAATGGTGGTCGGCGACAATGATGATGATGATGGTTGGCGACAGTGGCAGCGGTGGTTAAAGGTGGCCGGCGATAGACCATGGTGTTTAGTGGTTGTAACAGGGTGACGGTCGAAATGGTGGCCGTCAACGGTGTTCAAATAAGCTTTGGATAATGTAAATGATTTTCGATCAAAGTTGAGTTATAACGGTTTACCTCAAAAATAAACTAAAATGAAATACACTGCACATTGCATTCACTTTGCCTTCGATTTATTTTTCATTCAACCAACACAAAATTTCTCAAAACTTCTATATTTATTTTAATTTACACTCACTTTACTTCAAATCAAATATCTCCTAAATCTTACTAAAATATATGATTCAAATAAATGCCTTAAACAATAAAAATTTTTTATAATCATTAAGCCACAAGTCACTTTAATAAATTTGTGCTTGAAGTTTAAAAAAATGAGCTTGTGAATGTGAATAAAGTTCTGCCTAATTATAAGATTTAAGCCAGCTACTTGAAATAGTAATGACGTTGATCATAAAAATGTCAAAATATAGAAAAAAAAAATGTCAAATGATTAGCTTGAAATTTATTAAATATTTTTTAAAGTTAGTGTCACCTATGAAAAATTTGTATTACATCAATATTAAAATAAATTTAATCATTTTCAAATTTATCTTAATACATTTTAATATTTTATATCAAATATGTTGGCTACAAAAATGAAAACTAAGGCTCTATCACTTGGGAACTGGTAAGTATGGTGGCATTACTCATTGGGCTTCCAGCATCCAGCCGTTAAAAGTTATCGGCTTGTTCGTCAAATGGTTATTCTCCTCTGCATGTCCTGTCACCGATCTGCAAGACAACCGAGCTGACCTCCTCTGTTGCTTTGCTATGGCAGACAATCTGTTCGATGAAATGCCCGTTAGAGTGCTTCCTTTGGTTTTCGAGCCTTTTGACTGGATTTGAAACGTGCTAGATATGCCTAACGCTAGCAGTTTTAATACATTGATTCATGGATGGTGCAAAGCAAGTAAACTTGAAGAAGCTTGGCAGACTACGCAGGAAATGATAGAATTTGGTTTTAAGCCTTGTGTAATTACATATACTAGTTTAATCGAAGCTTACTGCTTTGAAAGAGATTTTCACAAGGTTGAAGCTGTTCTTGATGAGATGAGAACTAAGGATCGTTTGGGGGAAAATTATTACGTCCGGCGTCCGGAGGCAAATCCGGACGCGCCACATCACCCGGACACCGGTGCATCCGGGTGGGTCCAGGTGATGTGGCGCGTCCGGATTCGCCTCCGGACGTTTCGAACACCGGACATAATAATTCGCCTCGTTTGGATGGCAAAAAACAGTTCCAAATGAAGCCTAAGAGATGCCAGCCTAATGTCATAACATATACCATCATAATGCATTCTTTTGGAAAGGCAAAGGAAACTAAAGAAGCTTTTTTGGTTCTACTGATGGTTGTTTGCCTGATGCTTCAGTCTACAACTCCTTAATTTACATATTCGCTAGAGCAGTTCAATTAAGAGAAGCCTATAATGTATACGAGGAGATGCGTAAAAGAGAAAAATCTCCAAATGTGACCACCTTCAATAAAAGGATTCATTCCTAGGAGTCATTCAAGTGCTATATTGCTGGAAGCACTTGAAAGGAAGCATATGGTTGCTGCAAAGTCAAGAGTTCAAAAGTTAGCGTTGAAGGCACAGAATATTTACAGATATCAATATGCTTCTGACTGAAGAAAGAGCGTTGTTCTGAGAACTCTTTCCAAGAATAAGGCTTTGTTTGGGACGGTTTTCTTTCTGCTTCTTAAAACAGCTTTCTAATATAAAATTAAAAAAATTTGTACTGCTTTAAGAAGCTGAAAGAACGTCATCCCAATGAAACCTAAGTTAGACATAAATAATTTAAATTCACTTGCATGGTAGAATGCACAAATGAAAGTTTAAAGCTCGTCATAAGCTAAGGAATGCTAAATTTAAGGCATGAGACCTTTATCCTTTAATGTATGGATTCCCATATTGATAATGTGATTACAATTTGTTGTAATTCCTTCAAAGTAGTATTGGTTGCTAACTAATTCAAGTTTAGTCGCTAACTAAACTAGTAAGGTGTGGTATTAGAATTTAGATATCATGTTTGATAACATTTTTTATCATTACATTAGTTTAGTCGCTAACTAATTCAAGTAAATATTTTAAACCACTCTTAAAAATTTGTAATACTAAACATGATGAAAATTAGTTATAAAGCATATTTTATCAAAAAATTTCATATCAATTTGTTCAATGTTTCTCTTATTTTTTTTATGAGTTATGATTATTATGTGATCAAATGTGTAATTATTTTGCCAATGTAAAATTATCTTATAATTCTAATTCCATTAAATCATTATATTTTTTAACATAAAAAATAGCACGCACATGGACATGTGTGTGTTAAGAATTCAAAAGAATTATAAGTTTAGCATTAGCATGCTACAATATTCGCACACAAACAGTTCTGTGGTCTTTACAGTTATCCATACAACCGAAATCCATAACAAAAACCTCAGTAGGGGGCTTGACTTTCTTCAGCTTGCAAGTCAAAGTTGCTTCAACAATTCAATGACTGCAGAGAAGTTGGAGTAGCTCGATATGTATACTTCAACAGGGCTTCGGATCAATATAAATTACTCGGGCCTGTTCATCCATCCATAAAATGCTCAATTTCTGTAAGAATTTGCTATCCAAAATACAAATATGATATGCGTCTGTGTGAAGACATCTAAACTCATGAAGAGTTTTTTCTTCCCTATCTTAACTCTAAGATGTAAATTCTTAATGAAAGTTCATTATGTTCTCAATTAACTTTGTTCTCGTTGATATATATATATATATATATATATATATAATATTCCTAGAAAAACTCAGATGGTACACATTTTAAGCAGTATCAAAATCAGCTTTACGTACTACTTTCAAAAATATTGAAGGCATTAGAAGATTTTACATGCCCAACAAAGCGAGAGATTATTAAATGCGGCGCCGGACAGGAGAACCGTCCGACTTTACGAGTGTGAACAGTAAAAATACAGTTACTTTTCACCACTGTGCTTTTACCAATCACACTCATAAAAACTGGATGTTGCTTTAGGTCCGAACACCACACGTAATAATCTCTCCAACAAAGCAAACCCAATTTACTGTGGAGTTCTGTACACAACTACGCTAAAACTGGTTTTATAGTTCAGCATTTATCTACGAGAAAAAAAAAAAACCCCTTCCAAAGGTTGTTAGTCTAAAGGTAAATTAACTTTGACATAGAGTGGTACCAAACTAGTTTGATAAAAAAAAAGTCGCAAAATTGTGCGTTTTACAATCTTAACTTCTCAATCTTCATGTTATTGTAAGCATGAGTGAGATAGATCGGTGAAGGGAGAAAAGCTGTATAAGAAGGAAAAATTCATTTTAATTTGGAAATTTTAATTAAATATGTCAGCAGATTTTGGTGTTGTGCTAGGAGAGAACAAAAAAATGCACAAAAACTGTTATGCAATCCTAATTCAACTGGAAAGGTCCAAATAATTTAAAAACATAAGATTTTCAATTGATAGAGTACAATCAAATAAGAGCTGGTCTTACGCTATTGTAGAGCAAGACCTTTGTTGTGCTCCTGTTATGGCTTGCTTTTCATCGCATGCGCCATCCTAATCTCTCCAAAAACTCTTCAATCAATCTAAAATCATTGATCAAATTAAGATTGTGCCTAAATATAATGATAGTTCATGAAAATGTGGAACTGAACTTGATGGCTTTGCTATTTCTTACAAGCTACAGATTTCCTTCTGAGAAGATGCCAACTCACGGTCCGGAAAGGATTCCTCCATCCGAAAGCTCAACCAGACATAAAGGTCAAGGACCTTCGTTTAAGACAAAAGTAATCAGGCTCATCAAAAAGGCATCACAAGACAGAAATAAACAGAAAGTAAAAGTAAATGCTAGATCAAGGAGGCTGTTCCCACATTGAAATAAACATGAATAAAAAAAGAGTGAGCTAAATAACGAATAAAAATAAAGGAGAGAGAAACAATACAAGTTTAAAAATAAAGGAGAGAGAAACAATACAAGTTTAGGAAAAAATGAAGAGAGAGAGAGGAAAAAAAGGCAAGAAGAAGAAGAAATTCAATGAAGATAAATTAAAAGAAGATCAGAGGCAAAGCAAGGTTGAAGGACTTGCCATCCTTAAAGAAAAAGCAACTAGGTGAAAGAATTCATTCTTCGATTTAAATTATTCTACTTTATGATCCTATTATACATTTCTAATATCCTCTTGCATGGCTCTTACGTGAAACGCATTAAAGGAAAATCTAATTGCATTAGCCGTAATATTGATGCATATGCCATCATCTAGTACAAGTCATTTATGGACATCCTAATTCCTCCTCAAACCTTAAAGCACGAACACTCCGATTAGGGTGGTCAACAGTAACAATGTTTCACTTCTAATCATTTCACATTAACCTATACAACATTAATTCTTATTTTGGAAATCAGATTTGGTACAAGTTACAGCATCAAATCTTAACGATCAAAATATTAAACCATACATATAGGTTATGACCAAACATACTTCCAAATATCAATCATGCTGCAAACTTATAATTAGTTATTTCAACTAAACTAAAATAGTTGACACCCTCTCCTAGTTTCGATCAATAGCATCCATAATACTAGACGGTTTACCAATAACCCTCATCCTAATAATAGAGCATAACTCTATTTGTTTTATACCGCTGAACTGGACCGATTCAGCCGAACCGATCAGTTGAACCGGTCCAATTAAATCTCTGAAGCACAACTAAACGGGGCAAGGTGAGCGGATCAAATGAACAAAGCAGTGCAAGTGAAGGAGGCAAGCATGGGCAAGTGCAAGCAGGGACGGATGCAAATCCTCGCTTGGAATAAATCAAGTTCGCTCGATTTACTAAAGTTGAAGGCAAGGAAGAGAGAAGTTCGTGTTTGGCAAGGAGAAAACTATGTGCGCGAGGGAGTATTTCGTGCAGGTAAGTGGTCATTGTTTTTTAACCGCAAGCAAATGAGTCAATTTTAACCGCAAGCAAAGGAGAAGGTTGGAGAAGGAAGAGAGTTGTGTACGGTTGATGCTCTGCGAAGTTCATTCTCAATCGAAAAGAAGAAAAATGAGAAGAAGAGGAGAAAGTAATTTTCTAATTGAGAATGTGCTTATAATTTTGATTTGATTTGACTTGACTGATTTAATTATGCAATTGTATGTGATAGGAAAGAAGATGAAGATAGTACAGTTTGTGTGATCTCGATTCAACGGGAAGAAGAATAACTTTAGGTTATTAATATAATTTAATTATATATTATTTTGATCATATAATATGTAGCATAATTAGAAGTGTGAGTTAAAGATGGAGTTATTTGACTTTGCCCTTAGCAACGTTCAATTTCTCCAAGTTATTAATATTATTAATGTTGTTTTTGGACAATAGAAGAATTAAGCCGTTTAGCCAAGACAAAATACCGGAAACAAGTAAAGGTTCTCAGAGAAAGTTTAGCTAAGAGTTAAACTAATTTGTTCATTTGACATTGTGTTAGCGATGTTCGATGCATTGGGCGTTGTCATTGATGACGTTCAATACATTCAACATTACTTTGGCAACGTTCAACATAGCCAATGTTATTTGATGTGCTTTAACACCTTAATGTGGTTCACGATGATGGAATTGAATATAAGCGAGATTGAGCATTGAAGACAAGGCAATAAGGGATTCTTGAAAGCCTAGGAGAGGATTAATTGTATTATTGGAAATTAAAGTAAATTTAATTTTAAATTATCTACATAAAACGACAAATTTACATCCTTGGTAGTTAGATTGTGCTCTAAGAAAAGAAAATTAAGAGTTTAAAGAACTTTGAAAAAGAATTTAGACATTTAAAAGGAAAAGAGGTGGGTTATTATATTTTATTTTAAATCATGTATAGTTTTATTATTGATTCAATGCATTGATTAACATCGTAACTTGTATGCATATTTGTTAAATTTTAAAGGAACTGTTTTACATTAAAGTGAGGAAAATCAAAACAAACTGTGTAATAATATAGTATATATAAATGAAAATGAAATAAAAATAATGAATTATAATATAAAATGGAAAGCATTGAAATGTGAAAGGTATATGCATGCAAATACAAGAGTTTACTATCTTATAATACTAGTTAAGGATGCAATGTACCTACCAGTGCATGATAAATGAAAAAGGTTGAAAATGGAAATAAAAATTGTTGTGCTTCTATTGGTACAAAATTTAGACCGTGCTCCTGAAATAAATGAATTGCTAAGAGATTAAACTTGATATCCTAAAGAACATTATATGAATCAAGGATTGACAGTACTCATAATTATATCAATTACTCATATGTTATATTAAATGAAAAGTTTGATGACATAGTATGACTACTTATAAGCATGTTTCATTATTATTGTTATAATATAAATTTGTAATTGACTACTAATTAATATTAAAAACTCGACTCTTTAAATGAAATATTTCAGGTAAATCCCCTATCGAATAAATGATTGATCAAGAAAATTATGTATACAAACGAAGAGATTCAACTGAAAATATATAAGAATTGTTTTATCTGTATATTTAAATTGAAAATTATTTTAATAGCCTTTCAGTTAAAGTTGGATGTTTTTTTAAGTTGAGTTCTTAGTGTTACTAAAAGAATTTGTGAATTCGCTAGATCGTTTGTTTCCGTCTCATTAATTCGAGTCTTTAAGCTGGGTCATAATACTTTTTCATTTAATATATGCTTTGAAGAAAACATTCCCAAAAAAAAAAAAAACTTTTAAACACAAATTTAATCAAAAACCTCATGCCAATTATCATAAGCTACTTGGAGTGTCATGTACAAAATGCAAAATATCACTAATTTTGGAGCATAAAAATTAATAAAACATATTCTCAAGCTATATAATCTTGTAGGGATTTGATAATTTACCTTGTGGACAGATTCAAGCTCCTTAAGTGCTACTTGAGTTTTGAGAGTTTCAAGTGTCCCAGGAGTAAATATTTCTTTAAGTCGAACAATACCCTTTTTTGCATAATTCTCTGCAAACTACATCCCAGCATGAAGAATAAATAAGTCATAATAAAAAGTGCATAACAAATACATGAAGCTCCAACCATTATGGGGTCATAGGAAGGATTGATGTACACAATCTCCATGACTCAAACCCATAACCTCCATATGACAATGGAGGCAAAATAATAATTGTTCCAACCCCAGCTCCGAAGGTATACAAGTCGACCATTCCAAAATCATGCAACTACGAGAACATAAGCTATTTTCACCTGTATCAAACCCTGGGCTGAAATATCATCATCCATGTCAACTGGACTACAAAATGAAGATCAAAACATAAAACATTCAACTTCAGGAAATTATAATAATTGTAAAGCAACAAGAGAACCAAATTTTTTACTTATTGATTGTAGTTATGAAGAGAAAGCCAACCTTATACAGAAAATGTACTTCTCCTGCAGTCCAAGTGGCAACTCATCAACAACCGCGGCAACCTTCTGTTGTAATAAAAAGGATAATTAACAACTATTTGATTAAAATCTTTAAATCTCGCTTCTCTTGTTTTGGCTATTAATGTCTAATTTTTATTTTTCTTTGTACATAGTATACCGTACAAATCATCAAGATTTGCAGTTTTGACACCCACTTCAAGCTGAGACTAGAAAATGAAGAATTGCGTTGATATCCATGAAAGATTATGTGTAACAAGAGTAAAAAAAATTAAAATGCTCAGATGAACTGTAAAAACGTTTAAAATGCTCAGATGAACTACACGTAAAAGAATAACTGCCATAAGCATCTATTGCCTTTTACGATAAGTTAAATACCAGTATATGTTTGCAGTCAGCAATAAAGTAATCTGGAGACAATTTGGCTTTCTCTAAGAACTGTTCCTGAGACAGAATAAAAGGTTAATTAGCACAATAGCATATCTGCACGCCTGACGGAATAGTTGGTGTAAAATGAATAATATGACAAGTCAAAAAAGTCAATGAACATATAATAAAAAAGACAAATACAAAACAAGGAACTAAAATGTTAAGAGAACTTCACCAACAGGATAAGGTCTTATGAATATTGGTGAAACGTGACAAAGCATTAAAAAAATCACAGAAAACCCGTTGCTTCCGCCATCTAAAGTGAGAATTTTTAAATATTATCCTAGAAAAATGTCATGGGGTCCTTCCAACTTTTTACAAACTAGATCAAAAATCTGGAAGCATGTCAGTTTAACGCTAGGGGAGTGGGAGTGACAAATTTTGGGATGGATTAAGGATATCAAAGTAGCTCAACATTAGTGAATAGCAGGCGGGGACATTTGCATGTATGAAAATAAGTAAACGTGATTGCTTTTCTAAACAGGCAGGAAAATTTTGAAGCAAAATTAGCATACAAAGGTAAATTGATAAATGGAGGGTGACGATGGCTTATAGAATAATTTAATTGCATAATTAATTATATATTGTTGACCTCAATGTTAGTATCGGGGTCGAGTTGACCGCGCATGATGAGTTTCAAAAATGAATGAGCACAACAGTGCATGAACCTTACCTAACGACCAAAAACCTAAATCGCTGAAATGGCCTTTATTCATGAAATGGATAGCATCAGAGCATTCGGGATAGTTGAAAAAGCTAAGATCGACACACATATTGAACATGATAGTCGATCAGCAAAAATAAAAATTTTGCACACACGAATCGAGGCTGCATCGACATGCACAAACAACGATGACGTGACGACTAGATCAATGCACAATTTATATGAATAAATGATTATTGCTAAAAAAAATCAAGTTAATCTAATGTTAAAATTAATTAAAAAAAAAAAGAGAACTATTTTTAATTAAAATCCTAAAACTAAAACCATGAATATAATATTAGTATAACCTAAACTACCCCTCACTCCCTCATAAAACTTCCAACCTAGCCATCACTCACTCACACTCAAACTCACGCACGCCCCCTTTCCCCCTTTTGGCTCTCCCTCTCATGTGTACCTGACCCACCACCCTAGGTAAAAAAAAAACCTCTTGTTCTTCTTCCTCTTTTCCTTCTATTTCTTCTTCTTCCTTCATCTTCTTCCCCGTCCTTCTTTCAGCTTCATTAATAATTATTTCTTTCTCCTTATTCCTTCTTCTTTCTTCTCCTAGCTCCTCCCTCAACTTCTCCATTCAATCTTCATTTTCTTCCCTAAAAACCCTAACCCAAACTCTAATTTTTGTATTTCTTTCTCTCCTCTCAAACCATCATCTTCCCTTCCCAAAAAGGTTTCCCCACAAGCTCCTATATATCATTCACCAAAAAACCCCATTCCATTCCAGTTCCTCTCTCTAGACCTAGAGAAAAAACTTCTCTAAAAAGAGAGAAAATCCATTGTTTATCTCTCTAAACATCTCCCTCTCCACCTCAAACACCCCCAATCACTCTCATTCCCCTTCTCCTCTCTAACTAGAGAGAAAAAAAATCCTCCCTCTCCTCTCTCTAAAATTGGAGAGGAGAGATTTTCAATCTCTAATCCCAGGCTTCCCACAACTACAACATCCTTCGCCACATATAACATTGATACAAGGTTTATGATACAGGCAAAAATTAGGAAAAGCCCCAAATTTTTGCAAGCAAAAAGAAAACACTTCCTAGGTCACAAAAAGATACAAAGACACTCTTGAAATAACAAAAAAACAACAATTTTATAACATAAAATGACACTTAAAACTTTTAAAACATAAATTCCTAAAACTGCATTTCCTCGCTTGAGAAGAAAGATACAAGTGGCGTTGAACTTGCGGATAGAAGAAAGAGACAAGAAGTCGAGACGAAAGGGAGGAGAAGCTCGCAAGCTTTCTTAGAAGAAGGAGAGAAAAGAAGTGGAACAAGCTCGCAAGCTTTTCCAAGAAAAACCCTCGGGTTTTTATCTCCAAAAATCACATTATAACATCCTTTTAACTCTTTTAAAATAGCCCCTAAATATAGGTGGAGAGAGGGAAAACAAACATCAAAACAACCCACAAAAGAACCAATTAGAACTTGGGAATAAGAAGGCTAGAATTATTCCAGAATAGCACCCGAAAAGGCAACACAGGAGAGAAGGAAAAACAGCTACGGGACAAACAGCCAGGGGAGGAATCGAAGGGGCAGAGCAGCCACAGGACAAGCAGCCAGGGGAGGAACCGAAGGTCAGCACAGGAACTGGAACCAACAGCCAGGCAAGGAAAACCGAAGGGCCAAGGAAGGGGAAAGAGAATCATGGGAAGGGGAGCTAGGTGGGGAAATTAAAGGGCCATTAGAGAGGGGGAATGAACCCAATTAAATTCAAATTAATGAGCTGAATAAGAACTAGCTCAACATTAATGAGCTGATTTTTAAGTAGAGGACATTGAAGCTCACCCAAAATATTTTGACCCCCCTGCCTACATCAATTCTCCTCCGGTTGAAATTGTTCATCTCCTGATGAAGCTTGAGTTTGCTCTGAAGGCATCGCATCTAGCTCTTGAATTTTGGCCTCATATTTTTTTAGAATCTCATCTAGCTCTTGCTTAAATTGATCTTACAATAGACATTTTCTCTTCTCGTAATTTTTCGTACATAGCTGCATTTTTATTTGAAGCTTATATGATTCCCTCTGAATCGGATCCGTAGAATCTCCTTGCAGTGGAATCCATCTGTCCAAAGGGATTTGGATATCAATATCTTCTGGCTGAATTTCTCCCACAACTGATTCAATTTTTTTTGTCTTTTTCCATTTTTTTGAACACTTAAAAAAAATCACAAACGATCTAGGAAACTCTTAACCAAGGCTCTGATACCAAATTGATGCAGGCAAAAATTAAGAAAAAGCCCCAAATTTTTGCAAGCAAAAAGAAAACACTTCCTAGGTCACAAAAAGATATAAAGACACTCTTGAAATAACAAAAAAAACAACAATTTTAAAACATAAAATAACACTTACAAACTTTTAAAACATAAACTCCTAAAACTGCATTTCCTCGCTTGAGAAGAAAGATAAAAGTGACGTCAAACTTGCGAATAGAAAAAAGAGGCAAGAAGTTGAGACAAAAGGGAGGAGAAGCTCGCAAGCTTTCCTAGAAAAATGAGAGAAAATGAGTGGAACAAGCTCGCAAGCTTTTCAAAGAAAAACCCTCAGGTTTTCATCTCAAAAAATCACATTATAACATCCTTTTAACTCTTTTAAAACAGGCTCTAAATATAGGTGGAGAGGGAAAACAAATAGCCAAACAACCCACAAAAGAACCAATCAGAACTTGGGAATAAGAAGGTCAGAATTATTACAGAACAACACCCAAAAAGACAACACAGGAAACCAGTAAAAACAGCCACAGGACAAGCAACCAGGGGAGGAACCGAAGAGGCAGAGCAGCCACGGGATAAGCAGCCAGGGGAGGAACCGAAGGGGTAGCACAGGAACTGGAATCAGCAGCCTGGCAGAAAAAACCGAAGGGCCAAGGAAGGGGAAAGAGGGTCATGGGAAAGGGAGCTAGTTGGGGAAATCAAAGGGCCATTAGAGAGGGGGAATGAACCCAATTAAATTCAAATTAATGAGCTGAAAAAGAAGTAGCTCAACATTAATGAGCTGATTTTTTAGTATAGGACATTGAAGCTCACCCAAAATGTTTTGACCCCCCCCCCCTTTGCCTACATCAGTTTATTTTACGAATTGCAGTATGTGAAACTAAGTATCTGTGATTGCCTTTCTTGGCAGGCAGATAAATACTGTTATATGTGTGAAATTAATTACCCGTGATTATCTTTCTTGACAAATAGAAAAACACTGTTATGCATGCTAAATTAAGTACTCGTAATTGTCTTTCTTGGAAGATGGAGAAATATTGTTATATGTTTGAAACTAAGTACCCGTTCTCACACCCCATTTTGCCCTCCCCCCTTTCAATCAACCTGAAGTGTAACAGAGAAGGAGAATCTGGAGAGGCATATTTCTTACTAACACTCATCCTGAAATACTTCTATCAGAATCCAGTGAGTAGGAAATATTCTATCCAAACTATACCAAAACCATGCACTATTCAGTTTAAGCAATTCATCTACCAATTTTCTATATGAAAGCATATACACCATATCAAAGAAATATAGAGCTTTACCGAACTTTCAAATAACATATACATACCCAAAGGAGTTTGTACAACTTATACTTTGACCTATATGTACACCCAAAATATATGTATACAAAATTTTAGTCAACCTTCCTGCTTAGTGCCACACTAGCTTCTTCTCCTTTCATGTAGTACAATAACTGCTAGTAAGTTAAAGCTCAATGAAATACACAAGCATAATATAAAAAATAAGAAACATGTTTGCAGTTAATTGAAAATAATCTGAGATGTATAATAAGAATGTACAAAATATCAATGTATATTTAACATTTTCACGCCTCTACCCACCTCCTCACATTCGATTCCTTCCGCAACGAGTTCGACCCCAGCCTTTGATCTAACCTCCCAGCCACTGTCGATTTCCCTGCTGATCACAAAGCCTCAAACCTGCTTCATTCTCAACCACCTAAGCCATCGATCTACATTCTTGTACGACCTCTACCTCACACAAATCACAAAGCCCAGCCTACCTCCAGCAACCGCGACTGCATATGCAAGTCCTCCTCAAACCACGAACACCTTGCTCCAACGCTTCTAGCTAAAATCCCTGTCGAACTCGCGCGTGTAGCTCGAATCAACTGACGTTCCTTCCTTCCTCTTTAAGCAGTTGCAATCCTCCATCTGCAAACCTACGCCTGTGTCTGAACCCACCTCACACCAGTCGATCCCTATTCCTGTACCTAGGGCTGCAAATGAACTGAGCGTTCGACGAACTACTCGTGGCTCGGCTCGATTAGAGCTCGTTTATGTTC